CAGGTCCCTGGCTCGGTCCCCAGCTCGGTCCCCAACCCATCATGGGAGCCACATCCACACTCAGGGTCATTTGCCATCACTGGTGACTGGGAATGGTGGCATCGGTGGCCAAGCAGGGAGGACACGGCCATGGGGGTTCTACTCTGGGGTGGCTCCTGTGTGTCCCCAGGCCAGGAAAGCACCTAAACCAGCAACTCCCCTGCGGCACAGCCGGCACGCGCTGATTTAATGGGTCACACCGCAATGGGGACACATTTAATGGGGTCTGGGCTCAGTGCCGGCGCAGGACCAGCTTTGATTTCCCCCGAGGACATGTGGCCTGGATGTGTGCCACAGCACAGCGGCGGCGGCAGGCAGGCACCGACTGCCACAGCTGCATGGCTGCAACCAGCCCAGTGCCCACTGCAGCTCCCAGCGCCCAAACTGGGGCCTCCCCAACTCCTTGGAGGCCCCAGATGGAGCAGCTTTATGGGGCAGATGGGTGGCCAGTGGGACACATCACCCACCACAGCACCCCACGGGGGGTGAGAGGGGATGGAGGGACTTTGGGACACGTCCCTGTGGGGCAGGGGGCCACAGTGGAGAGGGAAAGTGGGGAGGGGGAAAGGAAAGGAGGAGCCTCGTGGGGTCCCTGGGGGGAGCAAAACCCAGCAGGGTGAGGGGAGGAGAGAAGGAATGGGAGGGACAGATGGACGGAGAGGAGGGCGTGTGCACTGGGATGGAGGGACAGATGGACAGGCAGATGGGTGGGTGGATGGATGGATGGATGGGCGTAGGAATGAAGTGACAGACAAGTAGAAGTATACTGGGACGGAGGGAGGGAGGGAAGGAAGGAAGGAAGGAAGGAAGGAAGGAAGGAAGGAAGGAAGGAAGGAAGGAATGGATGGATGGATGGATGGATGGATGGATGGATGGATGGATGGATGGATGGAAGGAAGAATGGATGGATGGATGGATGGATGGATGAATGGATGGATGGAAGGAAGAATGGATGGATGGATGGATGGATGGATGGATGGATGGATGGATGGAAGGAAGGAAGAATGGATGGATGGATGGATGGATGGATGGAAGAAAGGATGGAAGGAAGGGTGGATGAATGGATGGAAGGAAGGATGGATGGAATGACAAACAAATATGCAGTGAGATAGACGCATGGATGAATGGACAGCTGGACAGACAGAAGAATGGAACAACAGGCAGATAAACAGATACACACTGGGGTGGAAGGATGGATGGATGGGTGGAAGGACGGATGGATGGGTGGATGGATGTTCCTGCTCAGCGCCAGCCCCTTACCCGTGTCCTGCCGGAACTGGTGCATGGACTGGAGGTCGATGACGTAGGGCGCCAGCTGGACGTCGACCTGGCCCAGCACCACGCTGCCACGGGCGTCCTCCTTCAGCACATTCTCGATGTGGTGGCAGACGGCGGGTGGGGAGGGCCGGCC